TTTCGTAGGATGTCATGATGACACCTAGTTTTTAAGACTAAGTACGTTAAATAATATACGAAAACATTACATAAAAGCTTAAAATTTCAAACTCCAATTTCATAAATAAAATCTGTAAACTCAATACATACACCTCCCAAAACCTGATAATCATATATAAGTCACAAGCTCTTAAGTATAGTGTTGAACAATCCTATACATTACTGTCTATAAAAGTGAAATGAAATAAGGAAGAACAGGATAGAAGAGCACTCCGAGGCCTGCGGACGCAGACAGATGTACCTTGAAGTCTCCAAATGCAATTCAGCGCACTAGTGCCGGGACTGATAAGATGTACCTGGATCTGCACAAAAGCATGTGCAGAACCATAGTATGAGTACACCACAACGATACCTAGTAAGTGTCAAGCCTAACCTCGTTAGAGTAATGACGAGGTCTGGTCAAGGTCCTACTAGAGATAATAAGAAACAAGACGAAATATAACGATATAATGATAATGACAAAGAAAATTAAAAAAATAAGGAATTTACGGAAGGTTAATAACCGAGATCAAGATAGTTAATACAACACGAAAGGAAACAAGGATTTGCCCGTTAAGGAAACAAACAACCAAGGCAAATACAACAAATAAAGAAAGATGAACAAGGGCCACTACTGAGGTACCGCTTCGTAGTCCCAAATCATAAAAAGTATCTCACAGCCTTTTCCTTATATCACCACGAGAGCTTTTACATTTAGTTTTAAAAATTATTCCAAAACAGCACCCCAAGTTTTAGCCCACCTTATCACACCGCATGTCTTCTAGTAGTTACCCTACTAGCCACGCGCATCAAGCCCACATTATCTCACCGCATGTGTTTCAACACCCAGACCTTATACCACCACATTTCTATCAATAGTAATAACAACATGGCAGAAAACCCCGTGCAAACCTCAAGTGCCCAATATCACACTTGCCAGAAAAAAGAAAAAAAAAGCCAACAATAACATAAATTCACAACAAGGAGCCCACGGCTCAACCACAATGTACACAAAGTCTCAACAATAGCAACCAGAGAATAACTCAATAAATGATATTTCACAACTTATACTTTGCCTCAATAGAAACCACGACGTTTGCAACTCAATACCAAACTCAACAACAAGATATTCCCAGGATAGCAAATTTCATGTAAAGAATCCCACAGTTAAATAATGACCACAGAATTAAAGAAAGCAAGTAATTCAACAAAACATGTAGGACAAGTTGCAAATAAGAGATAAGACAAGTAGACATGTGAGATTAGGCTAAACATGATGGCTATAACATGTTAAAGTAACTCAATTAAAGCATGAAAGGAAAACGACGTAGCTAAAACTGGAATTTAAACATTTAGCCCGTGTATGCACTCGTCACCTTGCGTACACGTCCTTCACATATTACAATTATTACAACAATACCAAATTCTAAGGGGAATTTCCCCTACATAATGTTAGACAAGTCACTTACCTCACGCTAAATCAATCAACTAGAAGGCCTTTCCCTCAATTTTCCAACTCCGAACGGCTCGAATCTAGCCAAAATAATTTCATACTATAAATATAACTATAGGAAACTAATTTAAATAATGAAATTATGATCTTAGAAAAAATAGAAAAATTGCCCCAAAAAGTCAGTCAGGGCCCGCGTCTTGGAACCTGACCAAAATTATAAATTCGAATCTCTATTTGATATCGAGTCCAACTATACAAGCATTATCCACCGATCTAGTTTTGCCTTTCAAAACCCAAAAACTTAGTCTAAGAACTTTTATAATTTTTCCAACTCAAATCCTTAATATATGATAATAATAATAATGATAGATTAGTGTGATTTAATCAAATTTGAGCCAAGAATTCTTACCCCAATAATTCCTCTGAAAAATCCTCAAAATTTCTTCTCAAATCGATCTCCCAAAATTCCAAAATGAAATATGAACCAAAACCGTCGAAATCCCTCTTTTCTACCTAGTGAATTTGCTTCTGCGGGCCTTACTACTGCGTCTGCGGCTCTACACCTGTGAAATTTCTATCGTAGGTGCGGATTCCACTTACTCAGGCAAGTTCCGCTTCTGCGAACAAGATTCGCACATGCGTGTGCGCTCCTGCGGAGCCTTCTCCGTTTCTACGATGATTGACCAAACAGCCTTCCTCCGCATCTACGACCATTCTCCGCACCTGTGATCCCAACTGGGCTAGGTCATTTCCGCTTCTGCGACCAGTGGCTCGCATTTTCGAGCCCGCACTTGCCGGCATCTCCTCTGCAGGTGCGAAAACGCCAGAACAGCCCAGCTTTCAGTAGAACATCAAGTTTAAAAATGATCCGATTTCCATCCAATTCACACCCGGGGCCCCTCGGGACCCCGTTCGAAAATACCAACAAGTTCCAACACACATAACAGACCTACTCGAGTCCTAAAATCACATCAAACAATGCAAAAACTACGAATTGCAACCCAAATTCAAGCCTAAGCAATTATGAACTTCCGAATTCCGGAACCAACGCCGATTCATACCAAAACGACTCTGATTGACCTTGAATTTTTCACACAAGCCATAATTGACATTACAGACCTATTTCAACTTTCGGAATCGAGATCCGACCCCAATATCCACAAAGTTACTCCCGATCATACTTCCCAAATTCCTCTAATTAACTTTCGCCAAATCACACCGAAACGACCTACGGACCTCCAAATCAAGATCCAGACACGCTCCTAAGACCAAAATCACCATACGAAGCTATCAGAACCATCAAAACTCCATTTCGGAGTTGTCTTCACACAAGTCAAACTACGGTCAACTCCTACGACTTAACCTTCCAACTTAGGGACTATGTGTACCATTTCACTCCGAAACTCTACCGAAACCAAAACCAAATACCCCGAAGAGTCACGTAACCACAATATAATATAGATGAAGCATTAATTAGAGGATTGAGACTAAAATACTCAAAACGACCGACTGGATGTTACAAAAATGGTGAAGGTGTCACCGCTTGAAAACATATGCCGTGATTGGCATCTATCTAATTATGAGCCACTACTCACCAGATGAACCATTATCGTTTAACCAATTTAAAGTGCATATAATAATAATAAAATGGAGCCATAAAATAGATCTTGATATACACTGAAGTCTAATTAAAATCGTAATAAAATATCCCAAAATTCATTATACAACTGTCAAGGAGCGTTTAAAGACAATATTTCAGTACAAAAGTCTGTGGGACATAATAAAAATAGAAAATATAAGGATAGAGTATAAGCTGCTTTATGAACCAACGGTGGAAGACTCACTTCTACTAAAATCTCGATAGGACTGAAACAAAGTCAGCGAGGCTCAACAACACCACTATTGGATGGACCTCGACGGATCGGAGTGAAATCATCGACTCGCTCCTTCATTTTACCCCCTGGAACAAGCCTTACAAAATAATGCATAAAAGCAATAATAACAGTATGTAACAATACGGTAAATTAGAACAAGTAGGACAAGTTGTGATATTTTTTCTTGTTTATAGTGAGAATGCAAGGTGATAAGTTGGTAGCTGAGTAGATGATGCTTAAATGGTTGAGGAGTTGATGGTGGTCTTTGCTGATTGCTGAGCAACTAGTGACGAAGATGACGCTGGAAGATGTAGCAGAGAGGTCGATCGAAGTTTTTTGGTTGCCTTGCTGGTGGCTGAACAGCTGATAGTGATGAGTGGTGACAGAGATGGTAGATGATGGATGATGGAGAGATAATTATGAAAATGAGGAGGATGTTGGAGAAGATGCCGAGGAGAGGAAACGGGGGATTTTTTTTTTTTTTTTTTTTTT